AAAGATGATGATGGTAGCAAGCCAGCCCTGCTTGACTATGACCTTTATTATCACTGCAAGAGTCAAGATCAGTGGTTACCTGTGCCCTGAGGTTTTGTCATCAATGAGACTGGGGAGGAATCAGAGGATGATATTTTTTCCACATAATGCCTACATACCTTGCTTCATGTAACACCTATGTCATATACATAGGTATTGTATCAATTGCAATGTTGGCCTAGAGGCCATTTTTCACATTCATACTACATTGAACCCCCCACACACAAAATCAACTGGTAATTGAAGGGGGGAATCTACTTAGACACAGCAATACAGTCACTACACTATGTACCCAGATGTCCAGAAATAACCCTCAGCCTTTTCAGGTGTAATACTTTGACATGCATGAACAATCACCATCATTGATAGGTCGTCTGAGTGGTGACACAAGTATGCCTTGATTGTAGAAAACACTTGCTTGATGGGGTTGTAGTCTGGTGAGTATGGTGGGAGATAGATCAACTTGCAAACTGTAAGACATCAGCAGAAGAAACATCAATTGATTGATAGTGACATATGATGCATATCTTCAACTAACTTGTGAATTCCTTCACCATGGTGAATGTGGCAGTTGTCCATAATAATAACACTGTGGGGGCTAGGATATGGGTTGGTGAAAGGCATCTGTTGGATAGATTAGCATGTACAGGCTTGAAAATGATTCACTTACAATGTGCTTCTTCAAAAATTGCAGAAAATGCTCTCCATCAACAGTGCCCTCAATGATATCATATGTGATGATGCCATCAAGTGTGATGGCAGGGAGAATAGAGTAGTGCATTCCATGTATGAAGTACCTCCTGACTTGGCAATGTAGACCTCTGACTGTTTGCCCATACAGGTGAGTGGAGGTATGCTTGTCCTTGGAAGCTTCATCAGTGAAGACAAGCATATTCAGGTCTGGCACTTCTGCTGTGATGCAATTCATGTAGAGCATGCATGACTCCTTGTTCCTCTCAGAGGCAGATGTGGAGATGACCTTCCAAGTGATGTGGAGGCCCTGAAGAGTTTGAGAAAGTGTAGATGGAGTGATATGAACTTGATGCTTGAGCCAGAGCTCCTCATGAAGCTTGTCTAGGTAGATTGTGCTGCAATGTTGAATGATGGCAAGGATAAATGTGATGTCTTTGAGGCTGAGAATGTGATGATGACCAATGGTATGGGAATAAGTGTTTGGGTTGTACACAACACTGTACTTGATGTGAAGTCTGAGAGTTCTGTAAATAAGTGTTTTCTTGATGTCTAGAATACTACAGATTTGCTTGATGCTATAGCCATTTTGGTGAAGGACAGGAATACAAGACTTGAGGTTGATGGATACCATGTGAGAGGGCATGTGGGCAATGTTCAGTATGTTCAATTCTTAGTGTACTATGGTAACAGGCAGTAGCTACCCACTAAGGTACTTCTGGGGTCCTATCCCAGCTATATCCAAACAGTCTGATTGTCAAACAGATTTTCTGGATTGTTTTGCAAACAGCTGTAAACAGGTTTGCACCATTTTATTTGCTTCCTGATGAAGTCTACAAGTACATATGTTCCTCACAAAACAACTCATTTGTTTCCTGAGAATGGTAGACACTTAGAAAAGCAGTTCCTTGGCATAGGTACCCATGCTCTGAATTGTAGGGCAAGACAAGTGCAAAGTTTTCCACTTGCTCACATATCATTTCTATCCAAGCAGACTATCCAGAGCCAGAAGAGTGGAATGTAGCTCAATTTTTGTGCAGCTATCAACAATGAGTCATGATGTTGTGTGACACATCTTCTGAGAAGTATGTGACTAGAGGAAGGCTGAAGGGAGAATTCCCTAGGATCATCCCAAGGGGCACTGTGTGGAAGGAGAAGTCGAGGGTTACCCTAGAAGGGGTGGGAAATACATGCAAGGGTCAAAGAATTTAATTCTGAGGGGGAGGTCATGGATGTGCAAGGATAGCAAGATGGGTATACAAAATTCTGAGAAGCCAAATTGTGGCAAGAAGAGTGTATTTGAGGTGAGGGGAATATGGAAAAAGGTGTACAGGATTGGAAGATGCAAGAGACACAAGGATCACTAGGGATGCTGTAGACACTGTAGGCTCAAAATACACACTTAGACTCTGAGAACTTCTTGAACTTGCAGAACACACACAGATAGTGACTCTAAGGGTGGGTGGTTTATTTCCGACATTATGGTGGAATTATATAGTACAAGGGAAGTAGGTATGAGTTGGAGTAAGGTGGGGTGGAAAAACAAAAAAACCTGGAAAATAAAGGAAAGGATGACAGATGTCAGTGAATTACAGATGCATGTGAAATAGTCTGGCAAGTAGTAGACAAGAGTAAAAATGGGTCAACAGTAAGGGGTATCTTCCAACAGAACTAGGGTATGCATACAAGTGAGAGGGGGAAGTGCAGGAGGGCAGAGTGTACTGGCATGAGGTCCAGCTTGTGGAATTTAGGGCAATATGGATAACCAGAGTTTTTTAGAGGCATCTGGCACAAATGAGTGATGATGTGGTTAGGCAGTGTGGCTACTGAACTCCAGATGACTCTGGGCAAATGTGGGATTTCTGGATCAGCTTTATTGATGACTGGGTGACATGCTGAAGGTCAGGACAAACTCCAAAGGCAACAGGGGTTGGGAGAAAACACAAGGTCACAAGTGGGAAAAATCCTGAAATGGGTCTGTTGCAGAGGTTTGTGGAATTTAGTGACTGATTCATGTTCCAGCCTCAGGGAGTATACAACTCCCTACACCTCCCAGGGACTTTGAAAGCTGACTGTCCTTGGTCAGACCAAACCAAGACACAACAGAGATGAGTGCAGAATATTGGCAGGCTTTATGTAACAATGATGGCATGTGGTTGGAATTCTGCCTCATGCACAGAGCAGAATTCTGCATTGTATGAGATGGCCCTGTGGAATTTAAACTCTCCCAGAAAGTGGCTCACTGCTTGTCAAACTTTCACCCCCCAGCCACACCCATATCCACTACCCAAGCCCATACCCAACCTTCAACATGCAAGCCTACTTGATCCATGACATGTGACCAGTTTCCAGCATGAGGGACCAGGCAATCACCTCACTTTCAGCAGCTCTAAGACACATTAGGGTGCTAATTGACACAGCACCATGACCTGAAGAGAGCTTAGAGGCAATATATGAATGGGTGGAAGACTGGGACCAGACTTGGGTGAGTGCACTAGAGACCTGTGCAACATGACATGCTGACCATTCCCCAGGCTGGCATCTACTTGTGGTGGAAGTATGTTGATGAGAACAAGATTTCCATCCCAAAGGTGCATGATGTCAACCTATGTGACATGACTGAAGAATCTGCAATCCAGCAGAATGAGGTGATCCCAGTGGCAATAGCAATAGCAGATCTTTGCCAGCCAGAAGGGCAGCATAGATTCAACATCAATGACCTTGTTGAGGACTACCAGGAGCAGGTAGAGGGGAGAGTGTGGTTGAAGGTTGAGAGATTAGCCAAGGCCCTATCCATATGCACCTGGGGCCAAGCAGCAAGAGGTGAGGGTCAAGACCACACACCAGAAGACACCAAAGGATACCTGTCAACATCAGTAAATCACTTTGAGCTGTGGAGCTCTCCACAGTGCTCCATAATACACAGAGTCCCCTAGCTAGGTCCAGGCTGGACAGATGCACCCAACAACACTTTTTGCTATGGCTAGTTGCCTGTTACTATGGAATGGTCACATTGTCATGGAACTTTGTCCAGTATCTTACTTACTATGGATTGCTATGGAACTTTCATGCTTAGATATCACTGTACAAAACTGGCCAGACTGTATTCTCCTTGGGGTGTTGTCCAGTACTCCCCATCTCAATGTTTACTTTGCAAACATGTGATCACTCCACAACTAGGAACAGTTCACAGCAGGTATGACAGGAACAGGAGCATTGGCATCAATTGCATACTACATGTAATGACAGGTACAACAGGACTAGGTATTATGAAATCAATCAAGGACTACCTGAATGTGCTGGTACCTCTCTACATTCGAATCAACCTCTTGCAGTGCAGCCCTGATACAAGGAGTCAGCACAAGCACATCGGCTGCCCCAGTACTTACCATCCTTCCTTCACCCACTGAGAAAGCTGATCGCACAAGCTCACACCATGATAGGGATTACAAAGGATGTCATTCAGCACCTTCATCATGCCATGGAAAATGGAATTGTAAGCCTTGCTGGAGAATTGAGGCATTGTCTTTCCTGTGCCGTTCTTCAGAAATCTGTCCAACACACAATGATACTGCAAGAAAAGTTTGAGTTGCAGTGACTTGGGGTGTAAAATAACTCACCATGGCTGTGATGAGAGCCAGACAGGAAAGGGGAACTGAATTGTTGAAGGACTCAGGACACTTATCTGCAATTCAATAGGTCCTGGTATAGTAGAATTGTATGACAGCTTCCTTGAGGGCGGGGTGAGCGAAATTCCTGGTTTTTCCCTGATAAACCAATCTGTTAGTAGTGCAGACAACAAACTGCATGAATGTACATTCTTGTCGAAACTGTCTCACAGGAAAAGCAAGTTGTCAAGGAGCTTTGTGGCAGCAGTCTCTATCCATTGTACATGAACCTGTGGTGCAACATCAGAAGGAGGGACAAGGTTGAATGCAGCTGGTGTGGTTGCCAGTGTAACCAACTTCAATTCTGAACACCAGGTAGATATATCACCAAGGAGCTACTGGTGGTATGTCAGTAGCTGTAACTGAAAGACAGGACTACTTATGAAGCATGCCATATCTTGCTTGTGGTCAGGCCAGTAACCTATAAACTTAGGATAATGAGACATGTATAAAGCAAAAATATTGTTACTCACCATCTTCAAATTGCACACTGCATTTATTCCACTCAATGATGACAGTGATGAGTGCCTCTGTTATGGAGAGGTTGAGGTCATGAGATTTCGATGGGAACAGGTTAGAAAGTGCATGTGCAGCCCTGCATTCTCACTTAGCATCTTTGAGACAGTCCTTCCATACTGCCTTGTAAAATCTCAGTTGTGAAGGCAATGGGCCCTCATCCTTAGCTTTCTTGGAGTTACAAGGGGCTCTGGCATGCTGAGATACTTTGTTGACCGAGTTGTGTGCAAGGGTCAGAAGATCATGATCAGGAACAGGATGGCTGTTAGTGCAATGGTGGCATTCAAGAACATCAATGACAGCACCACATTGGGAACCCTAAAATAATAATCTGAATAAATAAAGCTAGCAGGAATGGCATTTTCATACCTCTGGCTGAGCCTTGTCCTTGGATTGTAAGCTTTGCAGAGCCACATCATCATCCTCATTGCATGAGTACTGAAACTCATGGTCAGGGGGTAAGGAATTGTGGTGAATAGGATTGTTTGTCATCATTTCTTGGGAGAAGCCTAACAAAGAACATTGAGCCAATACCATAATAACCTCTGACATGTACCAGGATGAGTTGATTGCCTAAGATTCATTGCACCCCATCCAAATGCATTGTCCTCATCTTTGTCAAACTCATCGCTGGAGACCTCACCAGACTCTGCATCTGATGGGTTATTACTCAAGGACTCCGACTCCTCTTCTGAGGAGCCCTCTGATGACAGCTTCTCCAAACTCTTGTGGCAAACATCAGCAGTTGCTGAATTTTGTCTCAATGAGAGCAAGCTATCAAGGGAGGGGTTGATACAAGAGTTGGGGATGGTAGCAGGCAGCTGGTGGGGGATAAACTGAGACTGGTAGTTGGGCTGGGGTGTTGGCAGACAAGATGTATTACTGGGAACTTGGTCTCCCCAAATCACAGCGATATAAGGATTATTGAGCACTTGAAGGTCAGGTTCCATCCTGGGAGGCACAATATGACCTGGCTGTTGAGCCAGAACACTGAAACCAAAGTGATGGGAGTCTGTGGGGTGCTGATGGAAGACAGGTGTTGCTACTGCTGTTGAAGACTGAGGGATGGGATTCTGAAATGAACATTGTATATCAGTATGAAAAGACACTCACTGGAGGCATATCAGCTGAGCTAGGACCATTCACAATGGGAGGCACATAGGGTGGTGGGGCAACATTGGACTTTGCAAGCAGTTAGCTTGATATTTGCAAATAACTAGAACTGACCTTCAGTTTTGCATTCTGGCCAGCACTGCGGCCCCCACCCTTTTTCTGCAAAGTGGGCAGAGGTGCAAGAGGATTTACAATGGAATTGTTGGGGAGATCCATCAACTTTCATAGCCATGTAGCTTGGCCTTCAAGGGCAGTACCAATCCACTCCAATTGCTTGGCCTTTCCACCTGAACCTGCCCCTGCCCTTCTGCTACAACAGAGTCCTGCTGTGGCAACAGACTGAGACTCTTCGAGATTGATGGGTGGGCTTCCTAGATGCTTGTTTTTTGCAGGTCAAGTGCTTCCATCAGCCTCTGGTCATTGTTTGGCTTTTTTGCTATCCTTCTTTTTCAGTGGGATTATTCCAGATTGGGTGGACATCTGAAGGTACAAGCAGTTAAACAGAGAACAGTATAAAATGGAAGCCTGGGGACCATGATGAAATGACATCTTGTGAATCCATATAAACATTGACAGGTTCATTGTGAGACGTAAAACAAAATGACACATGGAGACAGTTACCTGCTGCAAATGAATTGAAACACTTTACATGTAATGTACAGAATGTGAACTAAACATAAAATTCATGCTAAGACTACATGCCTTTGAAGCATTTATTGGGTATAGGAGGGTTATCCATGCTCCTTACCTCTTCACAAAGGCATTTAGAAGACATAATTGCCAAAGACATAACATCCATATTGTTCTCCTGACTTGGACGCATGCTTGAATTAAGCGCTTTGTGCTGGGCAATGATCTGCTGGAATGCATTTGTCATCTCCAGTGGTTTCTCATATGGCATGCCAGCCAAGAAACGATCAAAAAGGGAGATAATGTCAGAGAACTGCACTGCAGTTCCGCTCAGCAGGGACTGCCCAAGCAATATGTGCCACTCATTAGCCAGAGGGATTAGATCTTGAAAATATTGCAAGACCTCAGAATCCAGCCTCGATTTGGATGGGTCATTAAGGAATGTGAACTTGGTGCATCTGGCAATTTCGAGATCTTTGGCCACCTTTTCACTCCACAAGCCAAGAAGTGTCTTTTCATGGCTGATATCTTGACACTTGTGGCCAAGTGGCCCATCATAAAGGATGGGGATCCAGATGAAAACATAGAACAGGGATTTGATATCATCTGCAAATGTATGGTGTATAGTAGTAGCATGATCGATGAATATGTGGGTGAGAGAGGCGCTTTTCCAGATCAATGGGACATTAGTCTTTCCACTTTTAGTGATGGCTTCCTTGAGTTGGCAAAGGATATTCACTGAAAGGAAGGGGACTGTCCCCTTTGCATACTATCAGCTTCGAGTTCCAAAATGTTTTGCATAGTACTTACTGTGCTGCCCAAGTCATATTCCCCCTGTAATGTGACCCATACAGCAAATTCCCAGTCAAGGAGAAAGCCACACAACCCATTTTCAAAGTCCTCGATCATTGTATTGTTGATGCTACAATCTCGATGGAGGACACCCCTCTCGAGAGCCTGCTGCTGGACTGTTAGAGCAATTAGTATTGATTTTGCAAGTGGAAGAGGATACATACTTCATAAAATATCTCAGATGCATGAAATGAGTTCCTTTTTTGTCTTGAACATTACCATTGGCCTTGCACATGGCTTCATAGCCAATCACATGTGAGTTCTCTGAGACTTCATGCACAATTGCCACTTCTCATCATGATATTGTTCAGTTTTATCAACAATGCCCAGCTCAGCCTCAATGACCCAGTGGTGTTGCAACTTGGGAACTCTGTTGATGTCCTGGACCAGCTTCATCATGTTGACTTTGTGCAGGGCTGTCCTCTGCTCTGACTCCTCCACCCAATAATCCTTGATGACATAGTATTCCCCATTGTAGTGTGTGAGGTAACAAACAGTACCCCTTCCTAGAAAGCCTGTGCTTGAGAATAATACATTGAGCACCTCATAGAAGGTCTTGTTTACTTGGATCCTCCTGATTGCTGGGATGTGTTCGGGTGATGCAGGAGTTGGGAGTGAGTTTGCACTGGGGAGGATGCCCAACTCCAAGTGAGGAGAAGGCATTGCAGGAGAGGGGAAAGGGGAGAGAAGTATCACAAGTGCTGTGCATTTGCAGCTGTGTGCAGGATGGGGGGATATGTCTATGGTTGAATCGAAGCCAAGGGTTGAGTGGGAGCTGAATGCAATGGCACATACAATGTACATGAAGACTTCTGCATCAGTGTGGATATTGATAAAGGGTGAGATTGCACCACCAGAGTGGTCGTAAAAGTGAAGTCGAAGAAGTTTGCTATCAGTAATTGATAATCCAAGGACATAGCACCTCCAGGGCTGGTCAATGAGGGTTAGATATGCCTTAGTGTCCATCATCTTCCCAAGGTGGGATGCTGGCTTGAAAGACTCCTTTGAGTACTCAGCGGTGACTTTGGGACTTAACCACATAATCTTGTTGAGGGATACTGGGGTGTTATTGACAAGGATGAGGTCAGGCTTTCAGGAATAACCTGTAGAACCTTGCAAGCTGGTTCTGCTCCAGTCTGCCATCCATTGATGCTGGGGTTTGCTGGATAGACTGGGCATCGTGGATTTGGCAGTGGTTCTGATAGCATTGAGAAACAGAGCAACTTGCTTTTCAAAACAGAGCTTTTCCAATTCTACCAGCAGCTCTGAGGCAAGTGGCCTGGGTTGCTTGGGAGGTGAATCAGAGCCTGGGGGTGGACGAAGCTCCCAGTTCCAGCGCTTTCTATCATTGTCATATGGGCTGACCAGGCTGTCCTCTGACAAGCCACCCTGGCTGAAGGAGGTGGAATAGCTATGGTTGTTTCCAGAGGGACAATCAGGCACCTGGGGGCTATGGAGGTAAATGTATCTCTGAAGGACTTGAAGATAATATTTGTAACATAACTGAGGCTCTGAGGAGAGCTAACTTGTCCATGGTTCATGGATGATGTACACAGGGTGTTTGGTTGGCTGCAAAGGAGTAATCTCCATTGAGCGCCAGCGCAGCCTGCCAGGGAGTAGCTCAGCCAGCCCACAAAGTGCTCTGGCTGTATGAAAGGAAATATTTAGTAGCTGTATCTGGCGCATGTCAATAATGATCTTCAGAGAGAATAGGGACAGGCTTACGATTGACAATGACAAGAAAGAGTCTATAGCTCTCATGCTCAGGCCTGAACAAAGTAACCATGATGCCAGCTCCCATTCATTGTGGGAGTTGAAGGGGTAGTACAGATTTGATGCCCATAGGTTGCTGAACTGGTTGCTGTTAAATTTGTCCATAAATGTTGGGCCAAGTCCAAACATTTTAGCTGTGCCCTTGAAGTCATCTGTGGTTGGCCCGCATGTGTCAAATGCCATATGAACAAAATCCGGGTAATCATGAGTTGCATAGTCATCAGGGTTGGTGCTCATTGGGACATCTTCTAAGTGTGTTGGGTGTTGAGAGTTATGAATATTCAAGCTCAAAGGTTGGAGAGACTCATGAAGGTGGACTAAGTTATTGACCCAGGTATTGCACCCAGAGGATGGCTGGCTCATGTGCATTGCGACAGTGCTGTGACTCTGGAAGCCGCCTTTACTGCAACTTGGACAGCAGGGCATACTCTAGATGGTCAGGCAGGCCGATTCCATGTTACATGATTATCACTTCAGTGCAAATCAGGACATTGTTTGGATCGCTATGGAGTGTATTTCTCATATACTACCCAATCACATCCCATTCATGAACATAGTCACTCATGTCCATTTATAACCTCAATCACATGCACCTTCATGCTGGATTGACCATGCCCATGGACAAGCATTGCCTGGGCAGCAAAGGACTGCCCCATAAGCCTTGTGATGGCAGGTTCTCTTCCTGCAACAGTCCCTCTAGCAGTGCTGAGGTCAAAGTGGAGACAACTGGTGTCTTAGCTGAGATGTATGGAATATTGGAGTCATCCACTCACACAGTAAGTTCTTTTTTTCCTTCCTAATAACCACTCATTGATAGGTTTTCAATCTGCAGCATGAATCAAAGAGTCAGCTGAATCACAAGGCACTTCTCCTTCTCAATGTAGCACATGCACAATGCAAAGTCTTTCATGCAGAACAAGCTCTGGCCACATGCATTGTCCACAAATACGAATCAATGGCCAAGTTGTACAAGTACAAGGCAGGCAGCAGCAAGGTGAGAGTCCATGAAAAAGATATGGAAGTCAGCTCATTATGTGTAGCAATGAAAAAATGTGGACTGGGGGAGCCTATTTTTGATGTTAGTGTTCTGGCTGGTGAGCTGCAGCCATCTCTCAAGTCCGATGGTATGCTATGCTCGCTCTTTTCTTTTGGGCCACTATTTTACTTATGCTGGATCTTGATAGGCACAGTTATTGAGCATGCTGGTAGTTGAATACTCACCATTCATCTAGACTAGTACTATCCATTACTTTCCTGTACTTATTGAAAAATGCTGTATGTTATGTCTGTGTGTTGTTGCCCTCATGCATAGGAACAAAGTTAGATCTACCAAGTTCTCTACTACAGTGGGAATCTAGGTTGCTGTATTAGCTAGGTGTGTCTGTTCCCTTGTATGCTAGGTAGCTATTGGTCTTTGGATTGCTGGTATCACTGGTGTGGCTTACTCAGGTGCTATGAGTTGCTTGGATGCTGGCCACTACTTTGGGCAAGTCTGGTGTAGTCTACTCTGGCACTACGAGTTGCTAGGATGCTTGACATTGCTTTGGACTAATATGGAATTGTGCAAATACTATGGGCAGCTATGAGTTACTAACACATTTTTGTGTTTTGTTGATGAAGAGCTGCATGATTGACAGGGGGGGGGGGGCTCCAGTAGCATGAGCAAGGGAAAAGGGACACAGAAGGTGTGTTCTACATCCTTGACAACCCTGAGCATGAATGCTGACTTCAATGAGGATTCTGCAGGCCACCAGCAAGAAGGATGAGCTGGCTGACAATGTTGATGATGATGAGGGCAATGGTGAAGGTGAAGGTGAAGACAAGCCAGGTCCTTCAGCAAAGGGACCTTGCACAGCTGGAGACAATGAGCCCTGTGAGACATGTGCCCAGGCAAACCTCATGTGCATCAGGGAGCCAGAGTCATCCTGTAAATGGTGCAGGAAGGTGAAGTGCAAGTGCTCATGGTGTGAGTCAAAGTGTGGTTCAGTGGTGAAAACCAACCAAAACCAACACAAAAGACAAAAAGAGCAAGTGGTGGTGTGCCTATGCAGTGCCTGGATGGTAGAACCTGTTCTTTGGGAGGGTTTTTGCAAGCTATAACACTCAAAGATGAGTGCTGAGGGTTGGGGGTGCTCCTGATGAAGAAGGAGCAGGAATGCAAGAGAATGCAATAGGGTAGACTGCTGTCAGCCTACAGAAGGATGGATGACAACTTAATTTGATGCTCTGAGCTGTGCTGAGCTCAGGGAGGACTTGGAGCAAAGTAGATTGATGATAGATAATAATAAGCAAAGTAGGTGATAGTTAGACCCTTAATAAAGTCTCAACTATTGAAGCTGATGGAGGATTTACTGAGTGATGATAAAAATGCAAGCAAGAGGGGCACTCTGACATCTTCTTCTTTCTCTTTTTTTTTTTTTTTGCTATCTAAGTACAGTGATTTTTATACAGTACAGGGGTGTTGCCTATGGAAAACAAGGTGCAAACACTTGGTAAGTGATTGGTAACTGATGAGTAAGGAATGTAAGTGATGGGGAATCATCTTGGAAAGCATTGGTAAGCATTGGTAAGGATAAGCAAGCCAAAAAGCAAAGAATCAGTAAGCAAAGTCAAAAGATTGGTAAGTATTGGCAATAGGTGAGTCAAAGACAGTCAGAACATCAAAGTATGAGTCAAGTAATGTCAGGAACTGGGAAAGTGCACTGGAATTGCATTAGGGGGAGGCTGTGCATGTCACATCTCAAAGAGATCACTTCTAGGCCAAGGTGGGATGACAGAGAGGCAGCACAGATCTGATGCTGATATAGTACATCCAAAAGTGGACAGGGTGAGTCAGATGTCAACAGGGGTCAAGCTTTGGGGGTCTGTGTGGTGACAGGAGCATAGGGGATTGCAACTTTCCCCCCCAAACCATTCTCTCAGTGAAGCAAATAAAAAGCTCATGAATGAGGCTCTGTTGGAAGAGAGGATGAAGGGGGAGTGTCTTCTGCTGTATCTTGCAACAAGGAGGCAAGATGTGCATCATACTCATCATGGATGCAATCAGGGAGAGTGGAGAACAGTAGATTATGGTGTAGCTGTTGCAATCTTGGAAGAATGACAGATGAGACTGGTATGAAGACATTGCAGGGAGCAGGGAGGAAGGATCCATATGCTTCTTGGACTGGAGAGACTGAAACAACCACATAGGACCTTTCCAAGTGAATGACAGACCTGAGGAAACCAAAGAATGTCCTCCTAGAGGTCATACTGACAAAAAGAACATGCTGCCCAAGCTGGATGGGCTGAGAGGGGGCAGACAAGGGTGGGATGTACCAGGATGCTTCAGGATGGAAGCTGGTAGGAACTCCTGGTAGATATATGTAGCCATGGTCCCTAGCAAAGGGGACAAGCAAAATGATTGATGTGCAGGTGGCCATATCAGAAGAATTAGTGAAATGAGCATGCTGTAGAAATGTGTGGAGTGTGCAAATCCTTTCCAATTTTGGAAGGTAGGATTGCATGGCTGAGCACTACAAGCAAGTGTGGGAATGGTCTTGGTATCTGCAGAAATGGCAGAGATATGTTGAAAAGTGGAATGCCATACACAGGCACTTAAGAATTTTAACTGGCACTTAACTCACTCCCTTTCTTTTTCTTTGGCACTGACAGCTTGTTCTTGTGTGAGGGATGACTGCTGACATTTCTGGCTGTCCTTCTTCACATGAGGGCTATGGTCTTCATCTCCATTCATCAGCTGTATCCATGTCCACCTCACCAAACACCTTTGGTGTGTGACAGTGCTCTCATGGAGTAGGGAGAAAGGTGAGTACTGTATAGGTGAAATTCTGCAAGGGAATGAGTTGACACCACCTTCAGCAAAAGAACTCCAGTACTGTTGGGGAGGCAGGGCCATCCCACAAACAAGTCAAATTGATTATGACCTTGAAGGTGGCCCAAGCAGAACCTGTGACCAGACCCACTAAGAAACTCACTCTGAAAATTCTGCCTCAAAAACAACAACCTTACCTGACCCCCACATGCTTGCCATCCCCAGAACCAAGCCCCTCCCCTTGTGATTCTTCACCAAGTCCTTGTCTCTTCTTCCATGGGGCTACTCCCATGCCTGGGCCTTTGTTCAAGCCTCCACCACCCCCTGTCAATGAACCCTACCTGACACCCCCCATCAATGAACTGCAAGTCAAATTCAAACCATTCTCTGTGACTGTGACTGGCTTACTAAATGAACCTGGAGACATTGAATTGCCAGCCCAAGGTGATACTCCAGCAGTTGCAGAAACTCCAGAGGTTGTAGACCCATGTGGGCAGTCGACAGTGAACTCCATCAAGCAGCTACAAGTGCTTGAGGTGAGGGCTGAAGACAAGGAATTTGAGCTGGAGCAGTTCCACCAGCTGCTAGAGATGCTGGGTAACACTGTGGATCGAGGCTGCATGGGCCAGACAGGAGGAATTGTGTAGGTTGAAGGATGAACTCTGGGACCCCTAAACAGTGTACTTGTGTCTGCAGAATTTGTCATTTGTACTTGTATGTTCTGAAATTGTAAAAGACTTTTGTGTGTCAGTATTAGTACTACAGTAAGTGAAGGAAAAGCCCCCTGAGGGAAGAAGAGTTGCAGAACTTATTTTATTTTTATTTTTATTTTTTATTGTTGTTTCTTGTGAGTGGTGCAAATTTTATATATGAGATGAAACAGGTATCAATAAAAGAAAGAACAGGGAAAGAAAAGAAAGGAGGTAAGGAGAAGGATGGACTACTCATCTGACTCATCCAAAGGGATGCCAGTGAGTGTAGGGTCTGGGAATGAACTGTCCTCAAGGCAGTCCAGGTCTTGCATGGAAGTGCCAGTCAGATGGGTGACTTTGATGTGAGCATTATTCTACAGGAAATAGGGGTATAGGTGAAAGGCAGCAAAGCAGAATTTTGAGATGGTGCCATCTAATTCCATGAGTATGTACAAGCCACCTTTAGTGCATCTGATGATGATCATAGGCCCTAGATAGCACAGTTTGGTTTTCTGGTCAAGTTCTAGTTCAATGTGGGAATTCTGAATGAGGACAAGTGACCCTGGTTCAAAGTTAAAGTCATTGATAGAACATGCAAAATGGTTGATGAAATCCTTGGCTGAGGCAAAGTGGGATTTTAGGACCAGATTGTGGATGTGAGTGAGGTCATCCAGATGTTTCTGGAGTTGGCAAGCACAGTGAGCAATGAGATCTGTGGTCAAGTAAAATTCCACTTCGAAAGGGGCTAAAAACATTGCTTTGACCAGATCAAAAGGGAGTCTAGGTTTGACACCATGAGCCATATAGAATGGAGAAAACCCAGTTGCCTTGTGGACCATAACCCTTTCTGCCCAAAATACCACAGG